CCGGCAACGGGATTGCAAGCCTCAGTGTTGCTCCCACGCCTCGCTCAGCCAGTGAGCGGGAGCCGGTCTGTATGTGGGATCCGAACCCTCGGACGGGAGCGCCGCCGCGCTTCCCAAGCGGCGCACCATCCAGTGCGCCACCGGGCCGGCCCTGAACTTTCAAACACTGTACACGTATACTCTTACTCTTGTCAGATTCCTATTTTAGTGTATCAGTTGACCAATGGGCATTTTTAGGTCTCATGGTTTGTAGTTTTTTGAATATTTCATTGTTTGTCATCCTTATTTTATAAAAGTTAGTTGAAAAGGAAAAAAATGCCAACACTAGTAATAAGCTTAGTTTTCTTAAATTTAATGCCTTTGAAGTGAATTAGGCATGCTAATAACAGCACATCTTTAGTCTTAATTGAACATTTAATCTAAACTATTGTATGTTGAGTTGGTAAAGAAAAGAACAGAATTGAACAACCTGAAAGGAATATTGGGTATAGAGCTTTAAAGACTGCAAAGACTAAAAAGGAAGTGCGATTAGGAATTAATGTCATATTTTTCAGTTCTCTTAAAACATGGGGATCTGAATTTGACTTTTAACATGTTTTCAGGAACAAATTATGTATAAAAGTAGAAGACTCCATGTGCTATTTCAAGATTATCTGTGAAGGGAATGAAAAAGAGGGTAGCTAGTAAAGGGGATAAGAGATCCAAGAAAGATTTTTAAAAAAATAGGTGATAACCTGAGCATGTTTCTTTGTGGAGTGCAAAAAGCCAGAGGATAGGGCAAAGTTGAAGGTGTAGAGAGAGAGGAAAGTTAGTCAATAGGTAAGATTCCTTGAAGCGGCAGGATGGCATTGGATCCAGAATAAAGGTGTAAGGGGCTTATCCTTAGATAGGAGGAGGAAGAGGCACCTTTTTCATTGAGTTTAAAGGAAGGTGATGATAATAGAGTCAAAGGTAAGTATATTTGTTTGTGAAACCATGGCAAGTTCATTCTTTCAGCAGTTTCTGAATGCCTACTGTGTGTTTCAGTCTGCTAATGTGAGGATATGTAGTTCCTATACTCGAACCTCTTCAAGGTCCAGTGAAGATGGGAGATTTTCTGCCTTATAGCCTATGTATTTTTCTTTGAGGTAGGAGGTGAGGTTATCTGCTTAGGAAAGTGGAATAGGGAGTTAAGAAAATTGGAAAAATCTGCTGAGAGAAATTGAAGGGGTGGCCATTTTAATAGGTAAAACAATGGAGAGCCTTGCTAAAGTTGTAGGTTATTGATTTGATGGTGCCAGTGTTGAAATCATATATTTCCCTGGAAGATTGAAGATTGTATTCATCCAGGATTCGAATTTTGCAGAGCAGTTGTATTTGAAAGATAGACAAAGGAAAAGTTATAAGGATTATGGGAAGGGTATGACCAAAGTAAAGAGCATGAGGGGAACCAGATCTTGATGAAATTGAAGAACAGATATAGTGGGAATAGAAAGAGAACTGCAGTGGTAAAGAGTATGTGTGAGATGTTGAAGTTTAAAGCTTAAGAGTCAGAACAGTTTGGGTGATACAGAAATTAAAGTTTAAGATATGGTTGGTTTTGTACTAAAGTAGAGGTGAGTACAATCCTAATAGGCTACAGTGTTTGTATGACTTTTCACATGGACATTGAAGACCTTCAGGACAATGGCAGAACTTGAGGTCAAGAGGAACTGTGAACCAAGGGCCAAAGACATTGGTGAATGTGGTGGGTTTAAATGGGATGATAGAGATGAGGAGGATAAAGTGATAGAGCCAGCTGATATGTGTTTCATAGAGCAGATGGGTGCTTCCATGATGGTAGAACAATGATTTGGACGTGGTGATGGTGATCTAAGAAAGTTGTCCATGCTCCTGTAGTAGGGATAATTAGCAGCTGCCACTTGAGTAATGCCAGAAGTTAGTGTCTTTTGGATAGAGCCAGGCTTCAGGTAGCACAGAGAGGTTGAAGGAGCGGTCTATGAAGAAATTCAAGATACGGTGAAGTCAGTTGTGTTGTAATGGACATTCCAGAAGTATAGTAGGGTCAGGAAGGAGGGAAAACAGGGATAATAAAATCAGGAAAAAAAAAAATCAGTGATGGAGATAGGGATGAGAGTTAGAAGATAACCAGGGTATCTGCATTTTGAGTAATGATAGATGAAATTAACTGGCCTCAAAATTTAAATGGAGTTCTGATAAAAGTTGTTTCTGTCACTTGTTGAATGAGTTTTTTTTTTTTCAAATATAGAATGCTTCACGAATTTGCGTATCATCCTTGCACAGGGGCCATGCTAATCTTCTCTGTATTGTTCCAATTTTTTTTTTTTTTTTTTAAAGATGACTGGTAAAGGGATCTTAACCCTTGGCTTGGTGTTGTCAGCACCACACTCACCCAGTGATCTAACCGGCCATCCCTATATGAGATCCAAATCTGTGGCCTTGTTGTTATCAGCACCACACTCTCCCAAGTGAGCCACGGGTCGGCCCGTATCATTCCAATTTTAGAATATGTGCTGCCAAAGTGAGCACTAGATTGAGTTTCTATGAGGGTAGTGTCCTTCAGAAGGGAGACTGGCAAAAATGATGAGGCTGCTTTATTGTGTTAGTAATATCGTCCATCCCTCTGCCTTGTGTTTTCTGGAAGTATGATAAGCATGCTTTAGTATATCTTTGCTCAAGTCACTGATGAGGTTGTGAATAGAATGGGATTATCAACAGAATAGTAATGTTCCTGGAGGGACTTCCCCCCAGCTTGGCCTTATTCTCCTAATTAACACTTGGGGAAATGGTTGCTTAATCAGTTAGCTATTCATTAGTTTCAAGTTCTCTTGATATAATAGAAAAATCTCTATATCATTAGGGAGATACTGAACACCTCCCTCTTCTACCAGTCTAAGAATTTTCATAGAGGAGAGAGTGGTTTTATATGACTTATTCTTAACCCTTGCAGGTTTCTAGCAATTACTATTTTTAATTTATTTCTTTCAGGTTTCTAGCAATTACTATTTTTAACTTGTTTATTGAATCAGCATTAAGTTTACTTCTTTTTATTGTTTTTAAAAATTGGGGCAGCACTTGCCCTCTTTGCCTTCCCTGGTCTCTCATGCTTCATCAGATTTTTAGGAGCAGTTTTAAGATCACATCTAAAAGGACTTTAGGTTACCGGGCATGTAATGTTTCTTGTCCTGGAGATGAAAATTTATTTATAAAAGCTAGATACTTCACAACTACTTTAGGTCCTTGAAAGAGATCATAGTTCTTCCTCTCTTTCATATGACAGGTAGTTTTTGTCATATGGCAATGTTGCTGCTTTATCTTTCTCTGCTCCATGTCCAATTAAAAAGCCATCTATGTGGCCAATTAAAAAGCCATCTATGTGGTCTTCAGCAAACTTTAAAAAAATCTTAGTTTATTATTAATTTTAATTTTTAAATCTATATTCCTAATGATCTCCTCGTGGTCAAGGTCCAGTCATTCAACAAATAAGAGCATAAGATTAGGTAGGATTGTGAGTAGTGTATTCCTTTACATTCCAACCTTTACATCAGTGATTCTCAACTGGGGGCAATTTTGCCCCACAAGAGACCTTTGGCAATATCTGGGGACATTTTTGCTTGCCACACTGGGGGTGGCATGAAGCTGCTACTGGCATCTAGTGAGTAGAGGTCAGAGATGCTGCTAAATTTCGTACAATGCATAGGAGCCCCTTACAACGAAGAATTATCTGGCCCAAACTGTCAAAAGTGCCAAGGTTGAAAAACCCTGGTGTAAACCCTATACAACGAAGAATTATCTGGCCCAAACTGTCAAAAGTGCCAAGGTTGAAAAACCCTGGTGTACATGTACTAACACTTGAATACTTAATGAGCTAGTCAAATATGCTTAACTACATTATCTGAATTTAAACTTGAGAACATCCCTGTGAGGTAAGTGGTATCATTTTTACCCTGAAGGCCCTGAAGGGACCATTCATTCATTGGTAGGAGACAAGATACCAACCTTGGACTTATTTCTATAGGAAATTTCTAATACATAAGTATTCAGGATAAAAACTTTTTTGTTTTTTAGGATTTCTTTGGTCTTACCTGTTTTTTTTACAGGGACAAATATTCATAGCATTGAAATACATAATTTATTTTTAATGTTACAGATCTAGAAATGGCCATTGCCTACTGGAACTTAGTGCTTAATGGAAGATTTAAATTCTTAGACTTATGGAATAAATTTTTGTTGGTAAGTTTATGTTTTCTGCAGTTCTGTATGTTTTCTCTAAAATTCTGCTGTGTTTAAAGATAAATTAATGTATTTTGAAGCATGACTAGTTCATCTCAGAATGGACATAGAATGAGAAATTTGACCATCAGAATTTTATTACACAGTTGTTTGGCATTCTTGTATTTAGCATTGTCTGAACTGTTTTTTTCCAACTCTTTTTAGTGATTTGAATGTTTTTCATTTTTGTTTTTTAAAATAGGAACATCATAAACGATCAATACCAAAAGATACTTGGAATCTTCTTTTAGACTTCAGTACGATGATTGCAGATGACATGTCTAATTATGATGAAGAAGGTAATGAAAATTTTTGCCTTACCAGTTTTTTTTTTTAAACCTGCCTTCTTGTCTCTTTTTATTACATGCTCGTGAACTTCTTATCCACTCCAGTTTTTCTTGGAGTTGGATTTCCCTCTTCGGAGCTTTTATTTATGCTCTTCTGAATGCCTTCGTCCTCTTTACCAATTTTATTTTTTTCAGTTTATATAAATTCCAACTCAGTGTTCATGTCTTCCAGAAAGGCATGAGTAATTTTCATCCATTTTTTGGATTTTCAGTTTACTTTAGGAACCTATTCTCTTCTTAATGTACTTTTATACTTATGTGTATGAATTTTCTTATTGTTATTAGTCTTGTGTGTAAGCTTGATTGTGAACTTTAAAATTTATTTTTATTTAAAAAAATTGGCTGGTGCAGGGATTGAACCCTGGACCTTGGTGTTATCAGCACCATGCTCTAACCAATAGGCCAGTCCCGTAGACTTTTTAAGTTCAGTAACTTTGTCTAATTTGAAATGTACTCCAGCTGCCTAGTATAGTACTTTTGGCGTTCAATAAATATTTACTGATTGAATACTTTTCTGCTATTTCTTCATGTATGTATAACGATGATGCTACCATCCATTACCAGGATATGTTTTTCTGTGAGTGGCAGTGATTTACGTTGAATTCTTCACACATATGTTCTTAGTTCCCCTTGAGAACTAGCAGGATGCATTTTTGAGGTTGTTGAACAGATAGAAGTATACTTTGAAAAATTCCCTGTGACTCTGGCATCTTTAGAAGTGTCCTGAAACCATTTAAACTAACCAGGGATGTTATTTCTTCTGTTTTTATTGTCATTTATAGTCTTCACTAAAAAGTGAGAAATGTTTAATCCTGAGTATGTCTAGTAATTGTGCTTTCTGTTAGGTTTTACGCAAAACTGAAGAACTTCCTGATTTGGAGGTTGAAATGTGGATGTGGTAGAGGCATGCATACATGCAATTTTAAATCTTTTAGTAATTTACTGTCATGATAGGATGGTGTTTAACATTTGCTATTAATTTCCTTTGTAAGATTGCCACAAAATGTTTGAAAACTTGTTCCCCCATACTGTGCTTTCAGTGCCAGCAGCATGCCATCATATCATGGCCATCCCTTAGGCTGCCAGTTTTGACCAAACTACTTCCATTGCCTGACTTTGATGGCCTTTGGAAAACCGTAATATTATTGGTTGATTGCCACAGAGTTACTTTTATCACTCAAGGAACAAACAAATCTTGGAATAATAAAACAGAGGGAATGCAAGGAATATTTTGTATAGTAATTCTAAAAAGCTCGAGTTTTGAAAGACCTGTGGGAATAGATAAGATTGATCTACTTTAACTCTTATGAGGAAGGTATTAAAAAAACAAAGGATTCTATTAAAATATTAGCCTTATTTCTGCCTTTTTTTCCTGCCCTTTCTCCCATATTTTTCCTTTTCCCCAGGAGCATGGCCTGTTCTAATTGATGACTTTGTGGAATTTGCACGCCCTCAAATTGCTGGGACAAAAAGTACAACAGTGTAGCACTAAAGGAACCTTCTAGAATGTACATAGTCTGTACAATAAATACAACGGAAAATTGCACAGTCAATTTCTGCTGGCTGGACTGAACTGAAGATCAATCCTCACAATTCAGACTGAGGGTTGAGACAAAACTTTTAAGGATACATCTTGGACCATATCATATTTCATTCTTCTAATGGTGGTTTGGGCTTGTCTTCTAGTCTGGGCCGCTCTAAACATTTATAATTCCAACGTTGTGGATTTCATCTTATCTCTGTGGACCATCCTAGTTTATTCACCCATAAGCTTTATGGTGATTATTTTGAGGTTTCCATTCTTGCATAAAGCACAATGCTGTCTTCATCAGAAAACAGTTTGGCATAAGAATTAAACATATGAACATCACAAACAATTTATAAAAACTTCTTAAATATACGCTTTGGGCTAGTTGCAAAGACTTTGCTGATAGCACTTCCAATGAGAGTGATATACTTAAGTGTACCGGATCTGGAATGGTGTTTTTGTTTGGGGGGATTTTTTTTTCTGGCAAATCACATGTATTGTTGACATGAGTAGAGTATCTGATGAAAGAAATGTCAAAATAACCAACGTGAAAAATTTTTAGGATAACTTGGTGCCTACCAGAAAAATGTATTGTGTTTCAGACTCTTGATTTCAAAAAAGGTTCCACAGAACTAGTCTGCACTTATCTAACCCGTGTTTATATATAGTTGTCCTACAGGGAGCTTTTATTTAGAAAATGTCTGCATAATGTTAGATTTCCCCTCCTGTCTACATTATGCACTACATAATTGGATTTCATTATGCTTTTGAAATGCTTATATGCCTGTTGAATAAGTTAAACTATTTAATTTGTTTTGAATGTTTTGGATTGCTACACAATACAATCTAAATTTAGGCATGAGGGTTTATTTTTTGGGTTTTTTTGTTTGTTTGTTTTCTTGGTCATCGTACTATGGAACACAAATGAAATTCTCTTAATTTATAAGAAGATATAGTAGGAATTAAATTTTGAAAATGGTTGTGATGAGCCATGAAGTTCAATCTTCATAATATAGGTACTACTTTTTCAGACAAATAGTCCATTTCTGATGTCTTCTTATTTTGTTGAAATTGTTTTAACTGCTAATCACTGTGGTTGCCAAATACTTACTTCAGGAGCAAAGATTTTCAAACAAGCATACATTTGGTGCAAAATACCAATCTGGCTTCTATTTTCATAAATTATTTAGTCTCTTTACTGTTTTGTTTCATTCAAATTTGCTCAGTTTTCACATCAAAGCAAAGGGCTGTCTTGTATGTCTTATTATTATTATTATTATTATTACAAGACCCATGAACTGCTTTCATGCTGAAAATGCTTCATTTCTCTGTTCACTTACTGACATGTGAAGAAGGATTTATTGCTTTCTTAAACATTTCTGTAAGGCAGGTTAAAAATGTAAAACTTCAAATGTTGGATGACTGTGGTCTTTAAGAGGAATAGACTTCGCTTGGTATATTCAGGCACTCTCTGAGGTCTAGTGTTGATATTAAAAAACGAATGTACTTCAGAATAGCAGTATATTTTATGCAAATGTGGAAATGATTTTAAGAAACAATGACATGTTAAAATTGCTTTTTATTTGCATTACTTTAAAATCAACCAGAAAGCTTTCCCCTTAGATATTATGTTAATATTCCAATCATAACTTTAATTCAAGAATGCAGTTCTACCAGAAGAAAAGAAAATTTGGAAGTTTCTATTCAGGTTACTAGAATTGGTTATTAAAAGAAAAGAGAAGAAGAATCCTGCTGCTTTTAGTATTTCTTGATTTCATTTTTGTAAATATAAAGAGGAACTTCAATTATGAAAAATTTAAAAAAGATATATATATATATATATGTACTGTTTTGTTTCCTGTCTTAAAGATTTTGAGTTATGGTATTGTTTTCAGATTGATTAATTCAAGTATGCTGTGTTTTGAAATGAGATCCCTTTAGCTGATATATATATATATATATGTACTGTTTTGTTTCCTGTCTTAAAGATTTTGAATTATGGTATTGTTTTCAGATTGATTAATTCAAGTATGCTGTGTTTTGAAATGAGATCCCTTTAGCTTTTTTTTTTTCCCCCAATATAAACTTTTTCATAAAAGTCTGATATGGGTTCATGGCCTAGTGCCTTGGGTTTTACATATTTTTCTTTTTAAATGCAAGACCTTTTCAACAAAATAGTGTTTGTCATCAGTTTGGTACTAAACATTTATAATTACTATGTAATTATAAACAAAATACATAAAGCATCGAGTATAATTATGTAGCGTAAAAGTTAAGGTTGTTCACTATGATGGCATCTTAAAATTAAAAGAAACTTACCAGGGCTGAAAAGAGAAGACTGATTTAATGTGGTATGTTTATTCTGCAGATAAATGTCTGGTTACAGGGAATATTTTGTACTAAAAAAATGCTTACAAATATGGCTGTGTGTGTGTGCGAGAGAGAGTGCGTGCGTATGTGTCTCAGAGAGAGATTGTCAGAGAAACACACACACATGAGTGCACCGGCCATTCCTATATAGGATCCGAACCCGCGGCAGGAGCGTCGCTGCGCTCCGAGCGCCGCAGTCTCCTGAGTGCACCACGGGGCCAGCCCAGGTTTATCCTTTTTTAAAAAATTTATTTTTATTTTATCAATATACAATGTAGTTGATTTTTATGTCCCTTTACTGAATCCTCCCTCCCCCCTCCATTTGCCCCCTTCATCAGTGTCATATCTGTTTGCTTGTCTTAACAAGTTCAAGGAATTGTGATGTGTCTTCTTCTCCACCCCCCATTTGTTTGTGTATTTATTTATTTATTTTTAGCTCCCACAAAAAAGTGAGAACGTGGTATTTCTGTTTCTCTGCCTGACTTATTTCACTTAGGGAGAAGACACAGCTTGAAGAATTCTCCTCTGCTCCTGAATTGCCCCACCTTCCCTGCGGCTCTCTGTTAGTGGACCTTGTCCTGTGCTTGGAACAAGGAAAGGAAATGTCTGAGTGGTTAGCACAAGTGAGCCTTTTCCTTTGGACCTGTTGTGAGTGATGACAGGAGAGACCTTGCTTTGCAAGACCTAGCTCAGTGGGGCCCAACCACCCGCGCGATTCCCCAGGCCCTGGTGCTGGGGGTTTCCTGTCCTCTCAAAGTGTCCTTTTCATGCCAGTTCCTCCCCTCAGTGCAATCAAGGAGAAAGGTCCGGCTGAACACAGATGGACACCCATGTCTGTGCTGCCATGCGGAGCTGGGCAATTTGGTCAAGTCTCAGGGCTTCTCTGGGCCTCACCTGAGGCATCTGTAAAAGTGGAGAATGGAAACTCTGTTGGGAAGGATTTGAGGGCAAAACCATGAACAAAACACCGTATCACGATGCCCCAAATCACAAATTTTAAGAGAAGTCCTGAACTGTTGGCTGGGACCCCATCGCCATCAAGACCCCTACTCTCCACTGGATAGAGTGTTCCTTCCCACGTCCCAGGAGGTGACGCTGAACCTTCTGAGCTCCCCAGCCTATTGCGGGCTTCTCCTCCCAGCCTGGGATGAGGGTTGTGCCTGCTTAGCCCAGGAAGTGAATGGAAGAAAACTCCCCTGGGGAAAGTGGTCTTTGGTCCCAGCTGGAGTCACTCTGTTCCTTTAAGAAGGGGAAGAATTCTCCAGCACTGGAGTTTTCCGGCCCCCTGTCTGGTCTTGCAAGTTTGCAAATGACTCTGTCTGTCGTGGGGGAGGGGTGAGGCCGAAGGCCTGCCCATCCCCCTCCTCTTGCACAGCCCCGAGGACTGGGGAATGAGCTCTAGGGTTCCTGAGTCTCAGAGAGGGTTTAGCGCTTGTAGGGTTTACCCCGAGACTGCCCGCAGCCTCCTGAGCGCTTTTTGCCGGCCACGTATATCCTTTGCGCAAACGGGAAGGGAGTTTGGTGATGTGTGAATGTTACGACTGGGCTGTTCTGGTGGTGGCTTTGAAAATAGAAAAGTTCGCATGCTTCAGGTTCCATAATGAGCGACTTCGAGCCATTTGTAGGCTTGTGAAAGGCGAGGTCACTTCGTGGATGTGCCAGGGCTTAGCAGGACGCACCATCTCTGCCCCGTGCTCCTGCGGGCTTGTGGTGTCACAGTTGGTGGTGCGCTGGTGCCCTGCTGTACTTGCCGTGGGGTTGTTGTTTATGTGGCAGCTCGTGAGGACCCACAGCATTGGATCCCCAGGTTGTGACTCGCTATGCTTCAGCCGAATCACGGATGTCATCCTCCCTCCTGGGTATTTGCTGAAGAGTTGGGATGGAAACTACCACAGGCCTTTCTTAGTCATTTCCGCAGGAATCATTGCTAGAGAGGAAATGGCTGGGCAGAGACTCATGTGCATTTCAATGTTTCGTCTATACTGCCAGAATGTCCTCTAGAGAAGTCGTACCGTTTACACTGCACACATAGCACAATGTTGATAAGAGAAGCTGAGTGTAGTGGGGTGAAGTGGCATTTTAACAGTTCTAATAGTTTAGTGAAAGAAAGCAGATCTTTTTTTTTTTTTTTTAAAAAAGATGACCGGTAAGGGGATCTCTACCCTTGACTTGGTGTTGTCAGCACCACGCTCAGCCAGCGAGCAAACCGGCCATCCCTATATAGGATCCGAACCCGTGGCCTTGGTGTTATCAGCACTGCACTCTACCGAGTGAGCCACGGGCCGGCCTGGATTCATTGTATTGAAATTATTTGAAATGAATGGACTGTCAGCCAGAGCTTTAAAATAATCATTCCTAAGACTGCATTGTAATGATACTTAAAAAAAAAAAAAAAAAAACCAAAGCAAAACTTTATTGAGGTGTAATATATGCACCATAAAATTCACCAATTATAAATGTATAATTCAGTAGTTTTAGTAAATTTATAGGGTGTTTAGTCATCATCACAATTTAGTGTTACAACATTCCTATCAGCTTAAAAAGCTGCCTTGTGCTTTTTTATTTTTTATTTTTATTTATTTATTTATTATTTTTATTTTGTCAATATACAATGTAGTTGATTATTGTGTCCCATCACCGAAACCTCCCTCCCTCTGCCTTGTGCTTTTTTGCAGTTAATTCCCGCTCCTACCCCTAGCCTTAGGCAGCTACACTGATTTGGTTTCTGTATAAATTTTTTTTCTAGAAATTTCACATAAGCAGAATCATATGATTTGTAGTCTTCTGCATCTAGTATTTTTTACTTAGTATAATGTTTTTGAGGTTCATTCATCCTTGTTGTAGCATATACTTGTATTTAGTTTCTTGAGTTGCTGAATAGTGTTCCACTGTTTGGATATACTACCCTTGTTTGTTTATCCATTCACCAGTTGATAGGCATTTGGCTTGTCTACATTTTTTTATTATGACTGATGATGCTATGAACATTCACATATATGTCTTTGTGTGGACATGTTATCAATCTAGAGTAGATTGCTAGCACTGGAATTGTTGAGTTGTGTGATACATTTATATTTAACTTAAAAAAAAAATTTAAAACTTTCCAAAGTGTCTATACCATTTAGAAATATTTCTACCACAATGCATGAGGGTTTCAGTTTCTCTACATCCTTGCCAATACTTGTTATTGTCATTTTTTACTTTAGCCATTCTGGTGGGTATGTATTTAAGTGTACGTATTATACCTAACCTAACTCGTGTCTGCTAGCTGTGCAATTTGGGTGAGTTTCAGGTGCACTGAGGAATTGCTGTAAAATTAGTTACAATAAACAGGTACTTACTTGGAGGTGGTATTTTCTGTAGCCAGCGGGGATAGTTGTTACACTTCCAAAGGGTGTTCCAGTACCCCTAGTGATCTCTGGTGGGGAGTGGTGCTGATGGCTGCTGCTTTGCCTCTGTTATGTGTATGATGGTTGGTGTAGCTACCCATTTAGCCTGTGACTGGTGGTAGCAATGAAAACTTTGCGCTGGGCTGACCGGATAGCTCGGTTAGAGCGTGATGTTGTAACACCAAGGTCAAGGGTTTAGAGCCCCATACCGGCCAGCTGCAAAAAAGAAAAAAAAAACTGCACAAATTAATGTGCAGTAACAGTCTCATTATGAAGTTTCCCAGAGCTTTTACTTTTGAGATAACTTTGGGTGTTAGTGATGCTTTAAATTTATAAGAATTTAGTTGATACTATGTAGTTGTTATAGCTACCTGTGCTTTTACACTTAGTAGACATTGGAGTGAATGCTTTTTTATTTATAATGGAAATATAATGAGCCCATTTTAACTTGGTGAATTCATGGCCAGTTTTGATTTATCTATATGTCACCCATCTTTTGAACCCCAATTTATTTTTTTATTTTTTATTTTTTTCCTTTTTGTCTTTTTTCGTGACGGGCAACGGGATCGCAACCCTCAGTGTTGCGCTCGCACCTCGCTCAGCCAGTGAGCAGCCGGTCTGTATGTGGGATCCGAACCCTCGGCGGGAACGCCGCCGCGCTCCCAAGTGGCGCACTGTAGCAGTGCGCCACCGGGCTGGCCCATGAACCCCAATTTATTTTGAAGTATGTTCCAGATAACAAGTCATTTCATTTGTAAATATTTCAGTATGTATGTCTAAAAGATAAGGACTTAAATATAACC